GGGAGGCTTCCAGCGGCGGCGGGGACGGGGTTGGATCGGCGGAATCGGCCATGGCCGCGGTGGAATTGACCCTTCCGGAGCGGCGCAGGGGTTTCTTCGCCGACGGTTGGGGTTTGCGTCTGGGAGGCATATCGACTTGGGGGGTGGGGGTGGGGGATGGGGAGAGAAGCAAGGGTTGGACGGGTCTTCTTCTTCTCGGAAAAAAAATGCCTTTGCTCCCACCCAGGTCTCGCCGTCCTCCAGGTCTACATCGCCATATATATCGGATATCCGGCGCAGATATGACGTCAAAACCGCCAATCTGCCCAATGGAGCGCCACCAAATTCAAACAGATATACTACTGGGTTTCTTTCCTTTTCTTTTTCTTTGGCCTAGAAAAAAACCCTTTTTTTCCTAGAAAAACCTAGTGATTCTTTAAAAAAAAAGACTTCAATATTTCGAGTTGTGCCTCAGAGGCTTAATATATTTCACACTTTTTTGTGGGAAACAATATATTTCGCACTTTGACTTGAAATGCTTCTTATATGTGCTTTTGCCTTTATAAATAAAGATTGGTAGTATTTGTTTTGACTTTCAAGCTATCTTTGTGTTAACGGTCCCACTGCATCGAAGATATGCATCTCACGAAAAACAATGAATTCGTCACAATTAGTAAAGTAATGAGTTTTCTATACAAAATGCAAAAAGATAAGCATCTCGCGGCAAACACAAACACAGCTTATTCACCATACCCCACTCGGCGGCGCACGGATTTCACGCAAAATCTATTACCATCTTATCGTTTCTCTCCTAGGTAAATCATCTATCCCCTTTTTCACACTTCTTCTCCTAGACAGCTAGGAGGAAGTGAGCCACAGTATACTTTTCTTTGCCACATCCTATATTGCCTTATTTTGTGTTGTGACGATATGCAAGGGGCTTAATATACTCCGGAATTAGAACTTGATAATGTAGGTTAAACGGTTTTCAAGCCAGATAAGCAAAATGAACTATTTCTATATCTATATTTGTAAAGGTTCATTTTTGTCAGGGTTCATCCATTGGGGGACACATTTCGGTGTGTTTACCAAAAGATAGTATTATGTTTCTCCATTCTCTATGTTGTCAAAATCGGACAAACATTATGTCAAAACTACAAATTGCCAAATCAAATAAATACTATATATACGGCAAGATATGAACTTTGACACGATCTTTATATCTGTTTCACAATTCGGCTTGATATGTATTTTTATGGCCAGAAAGATGGAATTGTTTTGATTTTTGTTAAACATTTTTAAGATTTTTGTGCAGAGGTTTTTTTTAGTGCATGGTAGAACTTTGAGTTGAATAGAATAATAAAGCGGGAGGGGGGAAGAATGGAGAAATTCAGGTAGTGCCACATCAGCATCGACAAACCGGCATCGTCTTTCTATAATAATAAAACAAAACTGACGGCGTCAGAAAGCTAGTTTTGCTGTTAAATTCAGGTTCTGATATCCGTTCAGTACAAAGTCCAAAAACAAAAACGGACAGCAACCTTCCATGCAACAGTCAGATTCCAAAACGCTGATACAGATACACAACTGAAACCCGCACACTCCTCATCATAAGAACATATGAAAAAGCTACAATCCAAACTAATACTAGACGACCCTGGAGGCCTGGCCACCATCAAACATTCAAGAAATGCAACCAGGCGACGCCATTCACGTGTTAATAAAACATTCTGCTCCGCGGGCGCACTTTTCTAGCTTCGGTAGATAACATCGCCGGTGCAGGCTCACTCCAGCAGCACAAGTAGTTCTACTCCGGGATCATCTGTTCAGTGTCCGCATCTTCACCCGTTTCAATCTGGGGTTGCTTGGGAGCACCAGAGCCAGGAGCCTGCTTCTTCTTGATTCCACTGACAATGTCGTCAATCCTTAGAAGCATGCAAGCAGACTCGATCGCTGTCTTGAACGTCTGTGCCTTCACGCTGTAAGAATCCCAGATCTACAGCAACAACAAAAAAGTGTGGTGCTTAGACGTGCAAGCACACAACACAAGTGATGCAGAGTGAAAATACTACCTTCCGCTCTTTCATGTCAACAATATCACCAGTCCTTCCATCAACACCAACCCAAGGATTTTCACCATTCGCATGCTGGAGCAAAATAATGGAATTTAAGCAACATGCAGTAGCGAAAATACAAGTATCATAAATTTTGTAATATTTTAAAACTGAAAAAGAAAGAATTATACAGATAAAGTACTCCCCGGTTTGGGGGTTGAGAAATGATGCTTAATCTTAAATTTACTGTGAGCACAAATTCACAGAAAGTTATGTGCAGTAGTGTGTTCAGGAATGCAGTTAGCTATGTGTATTGTTGTACATAATCATCCATAATAGCTCAAAAAATATGCTTTTAGTACTGTATCAAAGCCATTGCAGTGCCAAACCAAAGCCTTTCCTCCTTGCAACTGGCTCAATTTATAAAAGGTGGTTTATCCAAAAGTCTAAAACCTAAAGCTAAGCAATTTCCGCATCTTATGTCCAACACTCAACCGGCAACACTTCTAGCTATATAAGAAAAACATGTTAAACAGGACCTAACGATCTGTATCTAAAATACTGACTCACTATAATCCTTAACTTTTTTGACAAGGTCACTGGAGAGATGAAATACAAGAAGAGTTATTACCTTTCCCTGGAGTTGTGTCATCGTCCTAATAACATTCAAACCACAATTTTGAAGCAAAGTTCTTGGGATTGCTTCGAATGCTAAAGCAGCAGCTTCATAAGGCCACTGATAAAAACAAACAGAAAGTAATCAGATACTCAAATCATAAGATAATAACAGCAGAAAGCTATTATATGTGCAATGCCCCAAACACACAAAAAAACACATTTTATTCGGTATAATGCGGTAGTGTGGACTTGTGAGAGTGTACTAATAGGCCTCCGCCTAAATGACTTCATTGCTCAAAAACGCTAGCATTAATACTTCTGAAGCATACCTTTTCAACACCTTCAACTGAAGAACTCTTTTGCTTTAGTGTTGCCGATACAGTCAATTCAGAAGCACCACCTCCAGGTAGAAGTTTCGGGTTTTTCAAAATGTTCCTTGCAACAGACATGGCATCCTGTGAATGCAAAACGAAGGGAAAGGTTGAGGGCAGGTCTTACTATGAAATAAAATATTAAATAGGACAAAACGAGCAGAAGAATACCTGAAGGTTCCTCTCCACCTCGTTCAAGATGTCCTTGCTTGCTCCCCTCAATAGAACAGTGCATGCTTTAGGATCTTTGCATTCAATAATGAAGGAAAAGAATTCATCACCGATCTTCTTAACCTCAAAGAGACCAGCTCGTGTCCCCACATCTGATTCTTGAAGCTCCTCTGGCCTGTTAACTATAACTGCACCACAGGCTTTAGCAATCCTGTTGTTATCTGTCTTCCTAAGTCTACGGATTGCACTAACACCAGCTTTGCTTAAATAATGCATAGCCATGTCACTGAGTCCTTTCTCTGTGATAACCAGGTCAGGCTTGAATTTCAAAATTTGCACACAGAGGTTCTTGATGTATTCTTCCTCCATATCTAGCAGAACCTTCCTGTAATAGCATATTTACCAAATTATTATACACTCCTGACAAATAGCAACTCAATAGGATCAATACATATGGGCAGGAGAATTTGAATCTAGACATCACTTACCAATCTTCTTCACTCATCAACTCGGCATTTGTCTGATTTTCCCCCTTTTTGTACTCAACAGGGCAATCCAAAAGGATGATGCGTGGATTTACTATCTTCCTTTTCATTTTTCCAGGAGCCACAACATCTTTATTGAACATGACCCCTTTAAGAACCTTTGAGTCCTCCAACTGGCCGCCAGGAATCTTCTCTACTTTGATATATTTCTTGATATCAACTTCACGCATTCCTTGACCCAGGTCTACACCTGCTGTTGTAGTAGCATCTATGGCAAGGTCCTAAGAACAGCAAGAGAAGATATCAAATGATCCATAATTTAACCCATGAAGTGAATCTACTCCCTCCATTTCTAAATATAAGTCTTTTTAGAGATTTCAATGCGGAATATACAGATGTATATAGACGGATTTTAGAGTGAGATTTATCCATTTTGCTCCATATGTAGTCCATATTGAAATCACTAAAAGGACTTGTATTTAGGTACGGCGGGAGTAGTTGGTAGCCAACTTGGCATAAAAGAGTGATACTTACAGCAATTAGGTCGCCAAACTGGCCAGTGAATTTTGTACCAATGGAGCTCTTCACCAGCCCTAGCATTGCCTCGCCTACATCATGGTACATCTCAATTGAATAAGATTACAAAATAGAACATGATCTATGTAGGAGGACCAAAATTTTCAGAAGAACAGTGACAATGTTTGCAACATGCTGGATGCAGACTTACGGTCATTAACATCAACAGGCATTGCAATTTTGTCAAGGACAGCTATGGCATCCTCAAGAGCTCTGCTGTATGCTGAAACCAAGAAACAATAAAAGGTTCAAAACAGATACATAACTCACCAAATGAAGAGAAAAAAAGTTGGTATCAAGTAACTACCTCGGCAAATGACAGTGGGATGGTAGTTCTTTTCAATAAATGTTTCTGCAACATGGAGCATCTCACCAGCTAAAAAGACGAAAAGTTAGTACAAAAGAATAAAGTCTCAAACCAAATAAGCTTCCTGTCCATTGAAAACTGATTTTTAGTCATTCTTGCTGGCTTAAACTTTGAAGAGCAACAATTTTAGTGTACTTAGCTACAAAGAAATAATGACAGACCAGAAACAGAATTGACAATTACAGGGGAACAATGTTAGTGTACTTAGCTACAAAGAAGCTCAAAGTAGCCATATGCTTAGTTTGACCACAAAGAGAATTGACAGTTAAAGTTGATTGACTTCAGATGGCATGCTTATGTAAATTATAGAACATGGACATAATGATCTTGATATTTATGAATGCATCAAAGGAAACATCATACCTAGAACAATTACAGATGTTGTCCCATCTCCCACTTCTTCATCCTGTGTGCGGCTTAGCTCAATCATAGACTGCACAGATTGAAAAGGGGGAGTTAGATTGAACATGGTATCATCCACTTCATGACAAACATTACAGGCTGACAGCTAATTCTAACCGCATAAGCCGCAAGCAAGAGAAAGAGATAAAACAAACATTCCACATACCTTAGCAGCAGGATGTGCAATGTCTAGTTCCCGTAATATAGCATTGCCGTCATTAGTGACCACGATACCTGCAAAATAAGAAACAAGTAAGATACAATAACCTTGTAAAAACAAATTATGTAATGCAAACATGAATGTAAAATGAACTCGAGTGACATAAACAGACTATGAATTATATCAAATAACAATTCTCAGTATAAAGCAAAAAGCAATTACTCGCAGTAATTTCAGATGTAAAGTTATAAGAAACAGAAGTACAAGACGCAAACATTTTGACACAAATAAGCCAAAAGTCCACACAAAAAGCCTAGTGGAGAGCAAAAGCTTGATCTGGTTATCCATCAGCACAAGCAGTCCATAAGGATCTACCCTCGACACATTTGTCTATGGGCATGTGTAAAGCAACCCCTCCGCACATATTCTGTGAAACATCATCCCATTTTGCATCAACTGCCATGGTTTCATAAACTAGATGGAGCATCATACTGTCCCAAGTGCTTTAATGATAGTTGTGCAATTAAGGAAAATAAAAATACAATAAGTTAAAGCTGCTGGTGTATTTAATCAACAAAGCAAATTAACATGGTCATACTTTTGAAACATTAAACAACGTAGCCTGCTAAACAAGTGGAATGGTGCAACCATGATCCAACATGAAAAAGAATGAACTATTGCCAACATAGTTCTTCAATAGATACGCTTGATATCATAGTGTACTTTTAATAACAAGTACTACCTCTGTACCAAAATATAAGATGTTTTTGTAGGCTAGTTTAGCCTACAAAAACGTCTTATATTTTGATACGGAGGGAGTATCACGGATGGACGACAAAAGTTTAACATCGGCTGGCATATCGTAGTGTATAGAATATGTTAAGAGTATGTTAAGTACCTCCACTGGCATCCAGAAGCATCTTCAACATGGACCTAGGACCCAACGTTGTGCGAATGATGTCTGACACAGCCTGCACATAAAACCATTAGATTTACCCAAGTACACGTAAATGAATCAACTAGTCCTCGCAAAGACAGAAACTTAAAACTTGTTGATAGTGGGGCTAAAACAATGGCAAACCAAAACCGGCCTGCCAGACAACCAGATCATCAATTGCAGGTTTCCCACATTCACACCCTCAGATAATAAAGCTAATAAGACAACTGACCTATGTGATGCCCGGGGCAAGGATATAACATATTACTCTGAGATCTTGGCTAGGACCACTTGTTCAGATCTATTGTGATCTCAACAGCAAAACACGCAACCTAAAGTGAGCTGATTGGCCACGACCTAGCGAGTACTGCCTGAGAGGCATCAACGACGACAACACCACCCAACTGACGTAGTGAAACAAAGCTCAAGATTCAAGAGCACAAACCTTCGCGGCCTGGATGTTGCCATGCTGAACCTTGGCGCCGGATTCCCTCTTCAACGAGTCCTCTGATCAAATCGAAACAAAAACGCGCAACATTAGAAAAAAAACGCGCATAAACAGAAACGGCATAGATCAGATCAGAGCAAAGAAACAATATAGCTGAACAAGCAAAGGCAAATCGTGGATTCGTGTCGTGTGATCAAGTAAACTTCGACACCAGGAGTTCAAGGCGCTGCCTATCTGAAAACCTAGACGCGAGAAGACACAGATGCTATCGGAAAAATACGGGGGAAGGGGAGGCGCGGAAACCCTAGGAGGCGGGGAGGAGTGGGGCGGGAGAGGCGAGGGGCGAGGGGCGCTTACTCAGCACGAGGACGGGGGCGTGCAATGCCATGGCGATCTGGCGAGAGACAAGACCACGGGGAGGCGGCGGCGAGGTGGGAGGAGGGAGAGGAGAATGGAAGGCGGATGCTGCTGCGCCGCGCGATCTTTCGAGCTTGAGGGTTTGCTCGGTTTGGGCTTTCAAGTGAAACCCTCGTCGCGACCAGCGTGCGCCTGAGCGTGCGTGACCTAGGGAACTGCCGGTGGGGCCAGTGAGTGGGCTACAAACATATCGTGTTTTCTCGAAGGTAAGGCCTCTTTGGTTCTTGAGGATGGGATTCTTATAGAATTTTTTTTCTTTAGAGCCCTTTGGTTTATAGGAATGGATTCCTATTCTTACATAGGATTGATTACTATCCTCCATATTTCATAGAAAAATAAAAAAAAAGCCTAGATTTAATGGAAAAATTCCTTTGGTGTCAACCAAATGACATCTTGTTTCCTATTGCTACTCATAGGATTTGAGATATATGTCATCTCATTTCCTACAAGATTCCTATTCCTATGATAATCCTATCCTATGAACCAAAAGAGGCCAAACGTTTTACGCCAGCGCGCCGGACGAAACGTTCAGCCGGTCGCAGGCGCAGCGTTAGATGCCCATCAGATCGTAACCCACGTCTCCTATCCTTTCCATCTCTTTCTCTTTTTTTCCCCAACGATAGAAATCCCTTCATAAGATTCAGCAGCTGGGAGGAGTGCACAGTTGCGCCCGCTCATCGCCATGGGCTGCCTGCAGCTGGGTGCGTCGCTCTCCATGGCCGACGCAGCCGGATGTGCTAGCTTCCATGGCCGGGTTGCAAGGTAATCGAGCGCGTCGACAGCGAGTTTTCGCTACAACCATGGATTGGTTTGCTGGAACCGGCCCATATTTTTGCTACCACCCACCTCTACCCGAAATCTGCTTCCACGGTGTTTTTGCTGGAACCGGCGATCGATTTTGCTATAATCGTTCTGTTTTTCTGTTACTACCGGTGTGTTGATTTTTTGCTACATCCCATCTTCATGACATACGAGACCGGCGACCGTGTTTTTTTATGCAACTTTTGTCACTTTTTGTTACCACAGGCATTGACGATTGCTACATTCATTTTTTTCACGAGATGCTACATCTCATGTATTTTTCCGGTCGAGTTTATTGCTACAACCATGTTTGATTTTGGTGGAGCTGGGGACAATTTTTTTTGCTACATTCATGTTTTGATTTTGCTGAAACCGCACCCAATTTTTGCTACATCCACCCGCGGCGGTGTTGGTCGACGACGGCGATGGCTATCTTTTGTTGCAACCGTCTCAGAGTTTTGCTACTACCGGAGATGTCATTTGCAACTACCATAGTTTTTTCTGTACCAGCGATTTTTTGCTACAACCATAGTTTCAATTTGCTGGAACCAGGTTTTCAAAATGATTCAACAGGGTGCGGCGACACAGATATGTTTTCTTGACAACTTTTTTTTGTTGCAAGTGTCGGCGGCGAGCATGACGCAGAGCTGCAACCGGCGACTGGCATTGCCGGAGCCGCGAACCATCACCAGCGAGGGAAGCTGCATCCCACGGGGCAGAGTTTTTGCTGCATGCATGGATCCCGGCGAGAAACATGAGAGAAGACGGCGGCGACCGGCGGCAAGCACGGCGACCGATTGCGCATCCAGCAGCGCAAGGGCGGCAAAGAGAGGAGATCCAGGTGAGTGGGTGACGGTCGGCGGCTGGGTGGACGTCCAGGCGATGGGGCTTTGTGGAGAGGAAGAGGAAAAGGGGAAGTCAACGCTGGGATTGAACGACTCGCAGTCGCGGGATCGGGCGGCTGGGGCTAGTCCGGCCCAACCGTTCGGCCGGACTGCCGGCGCCTATCACTGCCCTTTCTCGAAGGCCAAGGGGTTTTCTTTTCCATTTTAAATATTTTTAGCAGAGGTTCTGTCTAAATTGATAGCCCCCTTATCGTATTTCTCTGCAATTTTGTGAAGCCACATCATCGTGACCCTTTGATAGAACCGCAGCTTTTTTTGTTAGATCCTCTTCCCCCGACCTGACTCACTTGGTCAGCTATGTTAAGGCAGTTGCCCAAAAAAAGATTCTACATGTGATTTTTATCCTCCAGCAATATGTGATTTCAACCTTGGTTATTCCTCATACATCAGCCCATCCAGATATATTCTTGTCTAATAAGTTATATGTGTCATTTTTATATTGTCCTTACAGGCATTTGAAGCTAATTTGGTTGGCGTCCAGGGTTGCATGCCTGGCAAAAAGTGATGCCTGGCGTGACTCAAAAATCCAGATGATATTTGCATATTCATGTAGCTCACAAGAAGAAGCATTTGGTTGGAGTCTTGGCTTGGAGAATTATTAGGCCAAGAAAACCACGTCGTAAGCTTATTTGGGAGAATATTTTTTTTCTGTAACTACAGTACAGGCGGCTTTTTGCCGTTGCCAAGCCTCTAGTTTCTTGTGCTTGGGCCAGACTAATTGCATCCCTGGATGTGCACCCAAGCTAACCATTGCTTGTGTTGGCTACGCTAGGTGCATCGGTTGTAATATAAAATATTTCCTACGCACAGATCAACCAGGAACATGCTACGGGAGATGGATCATTGATTGTTATCACTAGAGGCGCAATGTCGTGCAACGAAAATAGAGTTGGGGCAACGCTTCCGTGGGTTCGTCTCCTCCTCGTCTGATCTCGCTCGAACAGTCGGTCGTCGGAACCCACGTACAGGTTCACCGGAGCGGCACAAGTGCACCACCTTTAACGATATCCGTGCATGCAGGAGGAACCCCGTGCGGCGGACTGCTAGGTCAATCACATAGCCGATGGCGAGTGGAAGTGGCTGGTCACAACACATGCAAAGCCGTAGTGACAGCGTTGAAGCAATAAATCGAATGATTGTGTCGCACCTCCACTATATATAGGCATCCGTCGCGGGCTCAACACTTGGGCCTCGTATGGATCCTAAAGCCCAAATTTTGTTCGGCCTGGATCGGAGTCCGAGTAGGATCACATCAGACTCGTGGAGTCAGATCCAACCTCACATGTTCCTTCCCTTAAGCGCGCGACCCCTTAGGTTCAAGTCAGCTTGGTCGCAGGTTGGATCGCCTCCGGCCTACTCGGCTGGTAGCGGCCTCTGGCAAGGCGTGCCAACCACCAAGTAGACAATGAAGTCGGTTGGCGAACTTGTACAGCATGTCACACTTCTGTTCTTTTTGCCACATGATATATGCTCCCAGGTTCAAGGTGAGTCTGTCATCCTTGTGCTAGTCCGAACACTTTCTCATTCTAGTGATGCCGACCACAAAACGGATTATCTCATAATCCTTATCGCATGGCCATGCTTATCTTGGTCAGATCATATGAGGGGCCCAGAGTATATCTCTCCTGATCGGAGGGGCAAATCCATCTCGCTCGACCATATCTCGCAACATGGGTCTAGACAAGCCTAAAACCTACATTTATAACTACCCAGTTACGGAGTTTCATTTTGTCGTTCGAAAGCACGTCTGTCACTGATACATCTCCAATGTATCTATAATTTTTTTTTGTTCCATGCTATTATATTGTCTGTTTTGGATGTTTTATATGCATTTATATGCTATTTTATATAATTTTTGGGACTAACCTATTAACCTAGAGCCTAGTGCCAGTTTCTTTTTTTCCTTGTTTTTGAGTTTTACAAAAATGGAATATCAAATGGAGTCCAATTGAGCTGAAATTTTACGCTGATATTTTATGGACCAGAAGAAGCCCCCGAAGCAAAAGAGTTGGGCTAGAAGAGCCACGAGGCCTTCACAAGGGTGGAGGGCGCGCCCTCCGTCCTTGTCGTCGCCTCGTGGACCTCCCTGACTTGTTCCCAACGTAAAAAAATCTATAAATATAGAAAACCCCAGAACAGAACCTAGATCAGGAGTTCCGCCGCCGCAAGCCTCTGTAGCCACCAAAAACCAATCAGGATCCTGTTCCGGCACCCTGCCGGAGGGGGAAATCATCACCGATGGCCATCTTCATCATCCCGGTGCTCTCCATGACGAGGAGGGAGTAGTTCACCCTCGGGGCTGGGGGTATGTACCAGTAGCTATGTGTTTGATCTCTTTCTCTCTCTCTCTCTCTCTCTCTCTCTCTCGCGCGCGCGCGCGCGCTCTTGATTTGGCACGATCTTGATGTACCGCGAGCTTTGCTATTATAGTTGGATCTTATGATGTTTCTCCCCATCTACCTTCTTGTAATGGATTGAGTTTTCCCTTTGAAGTTATCTTATCGCATTGAGTCTTTAAGGATTTGAGAACACTTGATGTATGTCTTGCATGTGCTTATCTGTGATCACAATGGGATATTCACGTGATCTACTTAATGTATGTTTTGGTGATCAACTTGCGGGTTCTATGACCTTGTGAACTTATGGATAGGGGGTGGCACACGTTTTCATCTTGACTCTCTGGCAGAAACTTTGGGGCACTCTTTGAAGTTCTTTGTGTTGGTTTGAATAGATGAATCTGAGATTGTGTGATGCGTATCATATAATCAAACCCGCAGATACTTGTGGTGACATTGGAGTTGAAGGAAATATGCCCTAGAGGCAATAATAATGTTATTATTTATTTCCTTATATCATGATAAATGTTTATTATTCATGCTAGAATTGTATTATCCGGGAACATAATACTTGTGTGAATACATAGACAAACCAAACATCACTAGTATGCCTCTACTTGACTAGCTCATTAATCAAAGATGGTTATGTTTCCTAACCATAGACATGTGTTGTCATTTGATTAACGGGATCACATTATTAGGAGAATGATGTGATTGACATGACCCATTCCATTAGCTTAGCACCCGATCATTTAGTATGTTGCTATTGCTTTCTTCATGACTTATACATGTTCCTATGACTATGAGATTATGCAACTCCCGTTTGCCGGAGGAACACTTTGTGTGCTACCAAACGTCACAACGTAACTAGGTGATTATAAAGGAGCTCTACAGGTGTCTCCAAAGGTACATGTTGGGTTGGCGTATTT